GAGAGAGAGAGAGAGAGAGAGAGAGAGAGAGAGAGAGAGAGAGAGAGAGAGAGAGAGAGAGAGAGAGAGAGAGAGAGTTATGTGAAGTTGTGAACTTTCAAGTCTGTTATCAAGTTTTATGTGCAGGGAAGTCCCAAAGTCCGGTCTTTGGGACTGTTCTCTGCGGTTTTGATGATTCGATCACTTGAAATTGTCGTAGAGCCATGTCATTGTGCGTTTGTGTTGTTGATGTGTGCTCGCAGGTACGACACGGAGCCGCGGAGGTACGTCATTTTGTTGTTCTTTGTTTGTGTGTTGAAGTTGTTAAAAAGTTGCCAAAAACTTAGAAAGTAGTTAAAATAGTTTAAAATATTATTATAATAGTCAGTGTTCATGTATAACACACCCGAACCACTGTATGTGAACATTGCATAAAAATTTCAGGTTTTTGCACTTCCGGAGTTTTCCGGAACTGTCTGTGCGTCCGGAACCTGTCATGTCCGGAGGTCCGGATGCGTTTGAAAGCCCGGAGGACTGGAAAAGTCCGGACCTGTGTCCAGTCCCCGGACATTGGCTGAGCAGGTCCAGGTCCGGCGTAGCCATGAATAGAAGAAGTTTTTCTTTTTTCAGTCCGGACCGTCTGGAGCAGTCCAGACACAGGTCCGGCTGGACGTCTGGACTGGTCCGGTGTCCAGGTCCGGCGTAACCATGCAATAAATTAATGATAAGTAGAGATGAAAAAGTGGAGGAGAGAATACTAGAAATAGCCAACAGCTTCTACAAGGAACTCTACAAAAAAGGGGAGAAAGAAGACATAAGGAACTATAGACCTATCTCACTACTGACACTTCCGTACAAGATCTTGGCCAAGGCCTTGTCCAACCGGATCACTAAAATCNCCGTACAAGATCTTGGCCAAGGCCWTGTCCAACCGGATCACTAAAATCACAAGCAAATGCTTCCACATTGACCAAACAGGTTTCACCCCTGGACGCTACATCCTTGACAATGTAATGACACTTAATGAATCGGTAAGGAAAATCAGGGAAAGGAAAATCAACGCAGCCATCTTGTTTTTCGACTTTGAGAAAGCGTATGACCAAGTCAACTGGGATTTTATGGAGGAAAKCATGGAAAGAATGGGCGTGGGACCAAACTTCAGGAAGTGGGTCAGGATACTGTACCGGGACGCGGTAGGTTGCGTGCAGGTAAACGGGTTTTTATCCGAATCCTACCCGGTCTCCCGGTCAGTCCGCCAAGGGGACCCATTGGCCCCATCAATTTTTCTCTTTGTAATGGAAGCAATCGCTTCCTTCCTACGCAAAGACCTCTCTATACAAAGACTGGCCAGCACAGAAGTGGGTACAACCCACCAGGTGGACTTTCCCACAACCATCATGTTTGCCGATGACCTGACGGTTCTGATCAGGGCTTCGGACTCCTTCAGAACTCTAGCCAGAGCAATGGAGGCGTTCAGACTAGCTTCAGAAATGAGGATTAATTGGGGGAAAACGATAGGATGGTGGCTCTACGACGACGAACCCCTCTCTCTTCAGGGAGAAAAGGCGGCCATGACATGGCAAACGCCTGCCACGCCTACCCGTTATTTAGGCATCTTGATGACAAAAGACRGGTTGGCAGCTCAAATGGGACCCTCAATGTTGACCAAACAGATCAACAAGATAGGGAGATGGGGCAACACGTTTACATCCCTCTTTGGTCGAGCGCTGGTCCTTAACACGTCTGTTTTCTCAATGATGTGGTGCATAGCTTCTATCTGGACAGTTCCCGACAGCTCAGTGAAGGAGTTGAACCGTAGAGCCAGGCTTTATTTGTGGACAGGCGACCCCCACAAAGAAAAATGCATCCCTAAGATAGTCTGGCACTATGTCACAAGGAGTCCTAGGAACGGAGGCCTGGGCCTCATTGACCCGGGGACAGAGACCAAAGCCTTGCAAATAAAATGGATCATTAAACTGCTGACAAATCCAGACACCGCTCGGAACAAGTTGGCATTAGACAGCATCAGGGCGGTGGCCCCTACCGGCTCCCCACCCGACATGTCAGGACTGTTCTGGGTCATGAATAAGGAATGGAGGATAACAACGGGACGCAGGAATCGGACTAGGAATAACAGACCAGAAGATGTCCGACCTCCCTCCCCGTACTGGCCGGTGCTGCTTCGACTCTAGGGGAGAATTTGTCCCACCAGGATCAACAGACCAAAGTCGAAAGACGAAATTCTCAGACAACCGCTTTTTGGTAATGAATGGATAACGAACGAGGCCAACAATCCGATATATATGGAACAAAAATGGCTGTCATGGGTCGAGAATGGGATCTGGAAGATAGACCACTTGTGGGAAGAGGATAGAAAAGACTGGGCTACGGAGCAAGAGGTTAATGCACAACTGAAAGGATGCCACAGGAGAGAAACCAACTTGCAGTACCTAATTAGCCGTATCCCGCAAGAATGGAAGAACATCCTTGCCAAGGACGAGCCGTGGAGAGCCGGGGACTGGGGCCTCTTGATCCAAGATACCCCTCCTACTAGAGCCTACCAATTTTCCCACATGCAGCGTGATTCACCTACCAACGCCGTCTTCCATTCCTTCCCGATATCCACCACGGGCTCAGATATGCCAGCCATCCATAATCGGGAAGTCGAATGCTCCACACTAGATTTTTTTCTCCTCAGGAAGGTCAGGGTCATTGGCACATGGCCGAAGTCCATTTTTAGACCAGATACGACTATCCGAGCCTTAGAATTTGACCCGGAAGAGTGGGCATGGACCTCAGGCAGCAATCGGAGTGTCAAGACGAAAACTCCGGTTCAAGACTATACCGTTAAATTTGGGTACGGACTACTACTGAAGACCAAAGACCCAGTTCCCATTATCTTAAACAGATGGCGAAAGCTGGTGGGACAGGAAGCCGACAAAATCCAACAGATCCCATGGAAAAAATATGCACAGATCAGACCAGTTAAGATCAGAAGTCTGCAGTGGTTGATAGCGTATGCTGCATTACCAGTGAACCAGTGGCTGCACACTAGGCATAAAGCTACTAATCCGGATAGCTCGGAGATATGTACAGTCTGCTCGGCAGGAGCGGTAGAGGACATAGTCCACTGTTTGGTGCACTGTGTGGAGGCGACAGATTACTGGGCGAGAGCCTCTTCCCTGTGGGACTCCCTCTTCTCTTCCCCTTTCCCTAAACAACCCATCCAACTACTCCTCCTCACTAACATCCCCACGATGACTCGGAGGGCGGAATCGAATTGGTTTGAACTCGTCAGGAAGGTGACCCTATGGGTGATCTGGAAGGAGAGATGCAGCAGATCAATTGAAGGACTATCAAATCCAAGGGACAAGGTATGGAAAGAGTCCAAGTCGATTATCCAAGCAGAGATATTGTGCAGATGGAGGAAAATCAAACTGAAATGGCC